CTCCTCCATTCTGCTCCCAGGATTTTGGGTAGGTGTAAGCGTGTGCACACACATACCTAGCATGATTCTCAAGCTGCTGGTTCAGGACTAACCAGCAGCTGACCACGTGGAACCCAGCTGCCTTACCACCATGCTGCTGACCTGAACTGCTCTGCTTCTAATTCAACAAACCTAGAACCCAGAATGAACACTGACTCCTTTAGTGGAGCTCTTCTGAGAGGCTTTGTTTAGTAGTTGAAAAAAAAAAAAATCTGAGAAAATAGGTTGACAGGGCCAGGTGGTAAGATGATGGGGAAGGTGGCTGAATCCCGCATGGACAATAGTGCAGGTGAGTCCCCAGGGGCTTGAAAAAACTTCCGGTACATGTGGGTGAGTCAAAAAAAAAAAAAAAAACCAATCCCAAAAAGGAGAGAGAAATGGAGGAGAAAGAATTACATTATGAGCCTGCCCCATGGGGGCTTCTTTCTCACTTGCTGTCTCTCTGTCTCTCATGAGTATAAGTGCCCTGTTAAGAAGGAAGGAAGTAGAGAGAAGGAAGGAAAAGAAAACAGGTTGTCAAACCATCTTATGATGGATAAATAGAGTAGAGGATGAGAAGGGAGAAACAGCTATTGAGTATCCCTTTCAGTTTTCCTAGAGCAAAATTAAAACGTTCTAAAAGCTAAGATATGAAATAAAGTCCTGCTGGGATATGGGAATTGTAATGATTCACCATCATTACATTAAAGGTCTACTTAGGAAGGTATGTAGAGTTTTTGCACTTAAGCTTTCAAAAATTGAAAAAAATCACATATGTATTTTAATTCTTGTTCCAATAAATGTATTTGCTTATCTCTGGGGTGGGAGGACTGCTCCTGTAACAGGTTATTATATTTAAACGTTTATAGTTCTTCCTCCTCATCCCATCACTCCTATCTTCAGATAAATTTCCATTAAAATGAAAGCTTCAAGGGTATGAACCAAGTCTTCTATTAGCTTTTGTATCTTCAATATCTAACATTACCTGGTGCAGAATAGAAGTTTAATATGTAATTGAGGAAGAAAGAGACAAAGAAAATAAAAGATGAAGAGTTGAGCAGTACCAAGAATTGAGATTCACAACATAAGCATGAATTTTGTAAGCAAGAAACATTTTTTGTTCATTGGTATGTCTGAACACAGCATAGTACTTTATATATATATATATATATATATATATATATATATATATATATATATATATATATATATATATATATATATATATATATATATATATATATATATAAAAATGTTTAAAATGAATGGAATTATTATTCTACATATGGTATAAAAGAACAATAGCCAGTCTCAAAATCAAGATAGGATTTCAATCCCAAATATATCAGTAATAACAAAATTAAATTACTGGATTAGCTACCAAAAGCTTTAAATTCTTTTTATTACCCTGAAATATAGAAATATATATCTCACTACTAGAATACATAATTAAAAGACATTATGAAGTGTTGCGAAAAGTGCAAAAGAGTAGCAGTAGGTAATGGCTATTTTATTAATGAGATCAATAGCAGGTAAAAATCTGAGGGAGGACTTGACATTAACTACATAACTTAAAAACCCTGAGGGGGCAGCAGGTGGCATGGTGGTTAAGGCGCTAGACTCCAATATAGCCAATCTCATCAAGTCCTGGACCTAGTGGCTAGAAACTGATACAGGGTGTGTGTGTGCATGCACAAAATCACGAGGAAAATGGAGAAAAAGGGATTATGATATGGCCATCCCCTCTGGGGGGTGATTTCTCACTTTATATCTCTCTGTCTCTTCAGTGACTGCATATGGCAGAGACATAGAAAAGATAAAAATTGGTGAAGATCCCCAAGAAAGTAGAGAATTTATTAGCAAATAGCTAATAACCCTGGGAAGAAAAAAAAAAGATCTAGGAAGAATAAAGACTGAAGAGGTAGTAGAATGTGCTTTTATGAACTGAGGTTTAAAGAAATAAGTGTGTTAACGGTAGAACTGTGTTATCCCTCAACAACATATCCTAATTCCTATGGTGAGGTCTGAACCACCCTTGTAACTGTATTTGGAGGTAGAGTCTTTAAAGATATAGTTATGTGGAGCCCTAATGTATAGGACTGTATTCTTACAAGAAGAGAAAGAAAGGGTTAGCCTCATGGCAGAGCATTTATGAGAGGTGAAATCTATATAGCTCACTGCAGCTTGAAAACCGGCCCCCAGAAATCTGAAAAACATGCCAGATGCAGGTGCGTGTGTGTGCAAAATCTCAAAAGGATAAGTCTCCGCATGGCAAAAGACATAATAATTAGTTTGAATCGAGAGCCCTCAGAATGGGAAAATATTTTTGACATATTGATCTCAAAATATTTTTGTAAACTGAGCATCAGATAAGGGACTAATAACCAGAATACACAAAGAACTCAAGTAGCTATTCCAAAAAAAAGATGATCAACCCTATTAAAAGATGGGAGAATGAGTTGAAAAAACCACTCTCTGAGGATGACAACCGAATAGCCAAAAGGCATATGAAAAAATGAGGATGCTCAACATCCCTCATTGTAAGGGAAATGCAGATCAAAACAATGAGATACCACCTAACCCCAGTCAGAATGACTGAGATTAAAAAAAAAAAAGACAAGTGCTGGCAGGGATGTGGTGAAAGGGGAAACAACCCCAAGGAGACCTTGATCTAATACTTCTAACTTCCAGGACAATGAGAAAATACATTTTCTATTGCTTATGCCATCTGACCCAGTCTGTGGTATTTTGTCATGGCAGCCCAAGTAGACTAAAACAATGATCTCAGGACAACAAAAGTAAATCATCCTGGGACCAGCAGTTAGCCTAATGGCTATGTCGCTGGACTCCCACAAAGTCAACCGCGGTTCTCGCATTCCAGACCCAGTGACTTAAAACTCATGCCGGGCGCGTGTGCGTGCGTGCCCAAGATCCTGAGAGGAGAATGGAGGAGAAGGGATTGCAGCGTGGCCATCCCCCCGGGGGGGTAATTTCTTGCTTTCTGTCTCTCTGTCTCTGTCTGTCTGACGAGTGCACACACCCTATAGCGAAAACCTCTCCAAAAAAAAAAGTAAATCATCCTCTTTCTATATATTACAAACTCAGAAAGTGACCAGCAGGACGTTTAACATAAAACAATATAAATCAACTAATCAATACAAAAACATTTTCTTCAGACCACTTGAAACTTAAAATATTTTAATTCTGTGATTAAATTTGAGCTTTGGAAGTATGCAGAACTATTAGATTGTCAGAAAAGTCATGATGTATTTTCTGTTTTTCTATGCAAAAATGTGTCAACACTTTCCGAACCAACCTCCCTCCCTCCCTCCCACTTATATATATCAACTAAAAATTATTTTATAAAAAGGAAACCATTAAGGCCCACCCACAGCAGCACACAGACAGCACTACCAGTTGGGTTGAGTTCTCAGGGCAACATATAACTTAAAATCCTAGCTAATACGAAGGCTGAGGCATGAGGATTGTGACACATATTAAGTCTCTGTCTCTCTCTCTCTCTCTCTGAGAGAAATAACTCTGGATTTGGTTGCTCTTTTGCATCTCCATTCTAGAAGTTAATTACAATTCAAAGGCAAAGCATTAATCAATGAAGGAACAAAATGACCAGAGTCTACCAGAATTGATCTATGACTAGGATGAATGAGATTTTGAGCTAGGTTTCAAATTGCAGAGGTAAGAACCAGAAGTATATGAAACTTTTTGAAATTCTTCCAAGGTGGAAGTTTAAACTGAACACAGGTTGGTCAGTTGAGTCAAAGAGTTTATTCAATCACCCATGGGTATAGATACTAACATATAAATTCATGCATATACCCATACATACCTAAAAATGTATGTGTGTAAAGATATAGAGAAGATATGCCTAAAGATATACAGATGTATATAGAACATATATTCTATACATTTCCATATATTTCTATACTAATATTTAGATACAAAATATATCTAGGCATTTATACTATATATATTACATATAAAATACAGAAGAATTTGTAGTATCCTGTGGTAGCAATGTCCTTCCTAATTGGGTCATGAGAAAAGTCAGGACGCATTTTTGCATAGAAAAACATACAAAAAAATAGATCATGACTTCCCCCAACAACCAAATATATGAAATACAGAAGTCATATAAAGTTTAATTACATTGAAAACTATGAAAGTCACATTAAGAACTTTGGCATAGTAAAAGACATTTAAGCAAAGTTAATGTACAAATAACAAATAAAAAATTCTATCATCTTATAAAATAAAAACGCTAGCCATAAAATATAAAATATAAAATAAAAACGCTAGCCATTAAATATAAAAAACTTCTACAAATAAAAAACCATAGGAAAAATTATATAATAAATAGTGAAAGAATCCAAATAATTAAGAAATGCAAAAGAATAAGCATGATAATGTTTAAGCTTACTAATAACTAAAAAATTCAATTAAAATAATGTAATTTTATTTGATGTTCAAGTGTTAAAATCCTAATCCAAAATAAAAAAGAATAAGCATGATAATGTTTAAGCTTACTAATAACTAAAAAATTCAATTAAAATAATGTAATTTTAATTTATTTGATGTTCAAATGTTAAAATCCCAAACCAAAATAAAATATGCTACAGCAATAAAATACAGACTGAAACAATTATGCAAAATGACCAAACTCAAATAATTTTATATTGTTTTCCCTTTAAAAAATTTTAAAATACTTAACCAACCTGAGCCACCTTAATTGAATTCTGGGTAGAGCCACCAGCATGATATTCGACTTTGAATTTTTTTACAAGTTCATCAAACCTGTAAGGAAATCACAGAAGAAAAAGTCAGAATCTTTTAGTTGTTATAATATAAACTTTTTGGACTAGAAGTGCATTAAAACAAAATTTGTGAATTATTTTGAATTAAATAATTATGTTGAAAAAGTTAAAAGACTATATAACAAACATACTAAATTACCATACTTAAGAAATTTGGGGAGGCCAGTAGCTGGTGTAGTGGTTAAAGCACTGGACTCCTACATGGCAGACCAAGGTTGGAGTCCTGGACCTAGCAGCTTGAAACTTGCACTGAGCATGTGTGTGTGTGTCCCCAAAATCCTAAAAGGAGAACGGAGAAGAGACTGTGACATAGCCATCCCCTGGGGGGTGGTTTTTCCCTTTCACTATCTCTCTTTGTCTCCCTGGTAAGTGCACATGCCCTATGACCTCCCCCTCCCCCCCCAAAAAAAATCCCTATAACTATACAACTACACTCACAAACTGCTTAACAATGGGAGACATGCAATAAGTGCAACAATAGGTGCATCTGTTGTTGTGCAAACAGCATAGAGACTGTACTTACACAAACCTTGATGGCACAGCCTGCTACATACCTAGGCTATGTGGCATAATTTTTCCTTTGTTTTTAAATTTGCCAAGCAGGGATGTAAGCTTGGCATAGAAACAGAGAGAGAGTGAGAGAACAAAGAGAGAAGGAAAGTGAGAAAGTGCCTTTTCACACAAGTTGGTCATGCTCCAATCTTTTCTTCGTTCCTCCTTTTGGGATTTTGGGTATGCAGGCACAAACAAGGCATGTTTTCAAGCCCCTGGGCCCAGGACACGAACAGTGCAGTTGGCCATATGTGGTATGACATGGGATGATATTATGGGACTACTATCACATATGTGGTCTGCCACTGAATAAAATATTATTATGCACTACATGACTGTAAATTTTTATGACTATATAGAAATTCAAAACATATAGACTGTAACTATTAAACTAAATAGAAAGTAAGAATAAACTGCCAAACAAAGATCACATATGGCAAAATGACAAATCAAAATCAGCATCCAAGACTCAAATTTACTTGTTAACTGTAAGCATAAAAAAAAAGTGTGCATTTTTCCTCATTCCAAACAACTGAGAAAGTTTTCTATGCAAAACAAACTTTCACTTATTAATATTACCCTTGGAACCAATTTAAGAGGTATAAAAAATTATATTATAGTGCCTTATACTACAAAATGCATGATGAAGCATGTGCTCACTTCCTCTTCCACATCTCACTGAATGTCAAAAAATGTTTTCTATGTAGAAAGTGAACAAAATAACAACAGCCAAGAAAGATGCCACAAGCAGACCACAAATTTGAGAAATAACACATGGAAGTTCCATAGAAAGCAAATGTAATAGAGTGGGCAAAGCAGTGATAGGGTAAATAGTACAAGGTACTTGCTTTAAATACTACACTTGGAAAACCAAGGTAGCTGCCCAACCACTTCTAGTTTACCAACATTTAGTGCACTTGTAAAACCTAAATGACAAAGCCTACTACACACCCTGGCGATGTGGAATAATCGAATGAAGTCACGGATACATATGCACTCTGTCCTAGACCGAAATGTCATCATGTAGCTTGTGTGGGTAAATAAAGTTTATGGCAAAGGCCCCTTATTTTGGCAATTGTATAGCCTATCTACTGCTTTTGCCTGTGTTTCTTCCCTTCTTTTCCTCCTCCTCTATTTTTTTAATAACAGTTTTATTTATCTATAACTCAGGATACTAAACAATTCACCCATGCAAAGTTTATAATCCAGTTATTTAAAGTGTATTTGTAGTTGTACAACCATCACCACAATGATTTTTAAAAGAAAAGAAAGCCTATACACTTGGGTCCAGTGGGTGGTATAGTGGTTGAGGCACTGAACTCTCACATGGCTGATTGTGATTAAAGTCCTGGACTCGGTGGCTTGAAACTCACTTCAGGCATGTGTGCCTGTGTACACAAAGTCCCAGAAGAACAGAGGAGAAGGGACTATCCCATGGCCATCCCCCCAAGGGGTGATTTCTCGCTTTCTCTCTCTCTGTTCCTCCAGGAAGCACATGTACCCTATAGCGAAAATCTCTCTGTAAACAAAAAAAAAAAACAAAAGAGAGAGAAATCCTAAACTAAATCTCACCAAAAAAAAAGAGAGAGAGAGAGAGAGAAATCCTAAACTAATTCTCACTATCACCCTCCCATCCTACCCTAAATAACCACTAATGTACTTAATGTCTCTATATTTTTGCTTATTCTAGATATTCCATATAAACAGAATCATATAATCTGTGGTCTCTGAGAACTGGACTATTTCACTTAGAACACATTGTAGAATATATTAGTACTTTAATACTGTCCAAAATACATACAGGTTTGGGAACTGTGTTGGACTTTTTTGTTCTCAGACAAAACTGTATCTGTTCTAGATCAACATTTTACACACTTCTCTCCTTTATAAAAAAAGCCTCTTAAGCCTCCTCCCATCTCTGTTCTCCAAATATACAGACTTACAGAAATAGGGAGAATATTGCAATATAATGTTGATTCCTCTAATTATAAAAAATTTGAATGCTTAGCTTGTTCTGTTTCCTAGCAATTCTGAAGGTGCAGGTTATGCATGATTCTATTTGTATCACTTGTTTTGAGAACGATGAAGTTAATTCAGATTCAGTATCCACAAGCTTAGTTTTAAGTGACTTTTGATGGATTTCTCACAACTAAGAAATGGCAAATTCAAGACTGGGAGATCTATCCAACAGTTTAAGATACATTAGAGTATTAATAATATAGGGCCAGTCAGATGATATAATGGTTAAAGTGGCTAGATCCCACAAGGCTGATGGTACAATTAAAGTACTGGACCCAGAGGCTTGAAAAACACACTGGGTACATGTGAGTATGTACCCAATATCCTCAGCAGAGAATGGAGAAAAAGGGACTGGTGTGTGGCTATCCCTCAAAGGGGGTGTTTCTTTGTTTGCCCTCTTTTACTCTGTCTCCAGCAACCACATGTGCCCTGTAGTAAGTAAATGAATAAACAAACCAAAGTAGCGTACTTGGAAAACAAGAATGTAAGACGGAAAGAAGTGAGAAGGAAGGAAGGTTCAGGAAGTTTCAGAACTCTGGGGAAAAGAAAATAAGGCTCTGAATATGCAAGAAGTTGGGGGAAAATCATATTAAGTAAAAATAATGAAGACTATTTAGAATAAAAAAACCTCTCGCCCTGAACTAAATAAATTACTTTAAAAAAATTTTGCTAGGGGCCAGCAGATGTCGTGGTGGTTAAGGTGCTAGATTCACACACTGCCAGCCACGGCTTGAGTCACAGACCCAGCAGTTTGAAAATCATGCTGAGAGCATGTATGTGCCCAAAATCCCAAGAAAAGAATGGAGGAGAATGGATTGCAGCATCGCCATCTCCCCCAGGGGAGTGACCTTCCCTCCTTCCTTCCTTCCTTCCTTCCTTCCTTCCTTCCTTCCTTCCTCCCATCCTTCTCTCCTTCCTTCCTTCCTTCCATCCATCCATCCATCCATCCATCCATCTATCCATCCTTCTCCTCTCTCTTTCTCTTTCTCTCCCCTCTCTGTTTGGTGAGCACAGGTACCACACAGCAAAAATCTAAAAATAAATTAAAAAAAAAATTTTCCTAGAGGGTGTTGACAGTAGGTGGTTGGAGGGATAAAAAGTAGAGGAGGATGTGAAAGGACATGGAATGGTCACACCACGATACCCTTTCCTCCATCTCTCCCTCCTTTCAGGATTCCAGGCACACACACCCACTTGCCCAGGATGTGTTTTTAAGCCTTTGGGTCTGAAACTTGAACTGCACAGTCAGTCATTCAGGATCCAGCCACCTTATCCACCACACCACCAACTGGCCCAAATTATTGAGGCAGGTATAGCTTATTTGTTTTCTGGATGCATTCAAAAATATATCCTATTGACCCACGAAAAAAATAAAAGGAAAAAATAAGGGATGCATTCAAAAATATATCCTATTGACCCAGGAAAAAAAAAGGAAAAAATGAGAATAAGAAAAACAAAAGGGAGAGAAGAAATCAAAGAATAGTAATAGCTCTTTAATTTTTAATATCTAATTTTCTACTTATCTGATATGAAGAAGCAAAAACTGCATGAAATAACATAGATTTCATGATTATACCCTGTAACCATCACCAATTATTTTTGTAAATAAAAAACCTTATATATAAGATATAAGAATTATGAAGAGGAAAATGTCTACAAACCACTGTATTATCCCAAACTAGGGAGAAGGGAAAGACAGGGAGAGAGTTCATCATATATAAGAAAAAAAGACCCCACATGGTGCTAACATCACGATGGCAAAGAAACAAACATCAACAATTTTGTGCACTTTATAAAGACGGACATATGAGAGATAAGACATATGATTAAAATCTTTGCAGCAAAACTCCAAAATTTAACTTCCTTAAGCATTTATAACTGTCAAATAGGATTTTTGATGAAGTTATTTTCTAAACTTCTCATCTCAACAAATAATAAATGAAAAACCCTGGTAATTCTAAACAGGTTATACTTACTAAGACCAAATGTTAATAGAATAACACAGGGTGGGGGAGTCCATAGGCAAATTATACGATTCAAAGCTTTGAAATCTTTTACCACAAATGTTTAGTCAGGTTGAAAAAAATCCACTTAAATGTCAGTCTGATAAAAGCCAAGAGAACATTTCCCACATGTGTTTATATTTAAGCATATTTATAAAAGATGGAAAAAGTCAATCATTCAAAACTAAGAGTGAGCTATTAGTGCATAGACTGTAATTTAAAGGTAATTCTCTAACCTCTAATTTTATTTTCTTTGATAAGAAGGTAGTTTAAGCAAGCAGTGTTCTGATAAACCCTTATTAAATTCTAAAAAGTTTAAAGATTTAATTATTCCCATTTATAATTGAAGATGAAGTTTTCCTGCATATGTGATAATCAAATATATTGTTAAAAAGCACATTTTATG